GTCCCCGCCCATGCACTTACTAGCAACCTGGCCAGTAAATAGTGGCAATGGTCACCCTTCTCCACCATGCTTTCTAATGGGACTGGGAAGCTAATGGCCTGTAAATTATGATACTGTGAAATTCTGTCTCTTAGCAAGCGAGGGCAGCCCCATTGCTTGAGACATTTATACTTGGATCAACAAAGAATCGGAGGACACATTGCAGTAGAAAATCCAGCATTGACAAGATTAACTAAATGGATGATCTAATTAGTAACTGCTTCTATGCCCTCCTCACAAATAGCGTGTCTCTGATTTCTGCCTCCATCCCAGATCATTGTAGTTTGGCTATAGAGCTGAGGTCAAACTGAAGGCTTGGAGGAAGGATTGTCAGGAATGACTAAGGCAGCACAGGGGGCCAGTTCAGAGACGCATTTCCCAAGGAGATGTGAGCACATTAGCTCTCCATCTGGAATTCTTAGGTATTGGCAGTGGAGCTTCACTTCCTGGCAACAGTTCAGATTTCAAAATTTGTTTTCATTCAAAAGCATTGTGATTACAGCCCTGATCTCAGAGACCCAACTCACTGCTTAGAATAGAGTTTTTCATCACCCATATCAAACAAGTATAGCACAGCCTTAAACCCCATTCTCTTGGATTCCAGGCCAATACCCTAGCTACCAGACTCAAGAAAGCCTCTCATTGTTCTTCTACAACCTGAACCCAGGAATGTTTGGTTTTGACAAATCAGCATATTTAGGTGAAAATGTTCTGTCCAGCTCCATGTGCTAGCAATAAAGTGAGGACCCAGAAAAGGAAATTGACCTTGCAACTTAGAAGGAGACTTGGGTGATCTGGGATCAATCCCAATTATGCTACAGACTTTCCTTTGTGATTTTGAAAAGGCAACATCATCTCTGTGTCTCGATTTTCCTGTGCAAAATATATGTTTCTTGTATTCTTTCTATGTTTAAACTGTAAACTCTTTAAGTCAGACAACGTCTCAGATCCTATCAAAATGGAGCATTATTCTCCATTGTGGATTTTAGGCACTACTGTAATCCAAATAAATAAAAATAATAATCCTGCATGCTTTATGTGAGTAGCCCCACTGTGATCAATGAGATGACTCAAATAACGTAAACAGTGGTTGATCCTAAAGTCAAAATTCAAAATCCAATGATTTCCCAGTGATTCCAATGAAGAATTTCATGCTTCTTCTCCTAATTCATCTTTTTTCCTGCTTATTACCAGGAAATGGCAGATTCCATTCAGTAAGTCAGATTTATTTCTTTTTAAAAAATAAAAATAAAAAATAAAACCTGCCTCTTAAAAATTAACATGATAAAAACTGTTAATTTTTCAGAATAAATGTTTATTGCTTTCAGTAATGATCTATGTCATTTTGAAATGCAGAAAGAGATTTTCTGTACTTGTAATTTTCATTTTATTTCTTGAAAGGTATTCAATTTAAGAAAGCACCTATCTCATTTGTATTTCTTTTCTCAACAGGCACCTTAACTTTTATTAACTGTGTCAATGTGAAGTGGGGAACAAGAGTACAAGATCTGTTCACATATGCAAAAGTTATGGCCCTTATCCTGATTATATCAGTGGGTCTTTATAAAATTAGTAAAGGTAAGAATACATTGCATTTTACATATTTTTTTTAAAAACTGAACAACGTCTGACAATAAAAATCTTCACTAAGGCCACGTCTAGACTATGCAGAAGATCAACGCTGTGACAGTCAATCTTCTGGCATTCCATTTAATGGATTTAGTAAAGACCCATCAATGCCAGAACTCCTTCTTCTTGCGAGGAAAATGGGAACAGTGGGGATGCAACAGTAAGTTGCAGGGAGGATGAAGGAAATTCAGAGAAGTTTATGAACAGATCAGCACTCTTTCACTCAGCAGTTACTTTACAGGGAACAATTATATTTTCCCTAACTTCAGCATTCATAAGATAGTCCAATATGTTTCTTTTTTATATTACATTATGAATGTCTGTTATTCTGAAAACATGATGTTTTTAAATGGGAAGCTTTTTCCTGCCCTGGCACTTTGATCTTCCTCAGCCTCTTAATAATATGTTGAAGACAGAGGTGTCTCTCTTTGTCAGCACAGACCCCCTGTAGGTCTCTCTTAATGGATCATGTGATTGGCATGTAGATGGGTCATATGATTTAGTCGCTGGTATGAGATTTTGCTACAAAGGTGAAGGATTAGTAACTGCAAACCTTGTGCTATTGGTCTCCATAGCTTACTGCTTGTGTGTAACCCATAAATCCCCTCCACCAAATTCAACTACTTTCTTAGTATTCAGAATGACTTTACAAAAAAGGTCTTCCTTTAATCACAACCAGAATCCCTAGTTTTCCATGATAAAACCCCCAAAATTCTCTGACCAAAAACAATCTACATTTCCTAACATGCCAATGAGAACATTGATTCCAGGAGTTCTTCTCCCTGCTGGAAACTAAAAGAAATCAACACACATATCTAGAGCTATTTAAAATTACATCATATCAGATTTCACATAGATAAATGAACACAGAAATTGTAAACTTCTAAAATAGGGGTGGCCAATCTGTGACTCTAGAGCCACATACGGCTCTTCAGAAGTTAATATGCAGCTCCTTGCATAGGTACCAAATCCAGGGCTGGAGCTATAGGTGCCAACTTTCCACTGGGCTGGCAGGTGTTTACTGTTCAACCCCCTGCTCTACCCTAGGTGCTGTCCCCCTCCACCCTTTTCCCTGAATATCCTACCACTTCCTACCCTCTCTACTGAGCCTGTCACACTCATACTTCCCCCTCTTCCTTCCCCCCCTCGCTCCAGTGTCTCCCACTGAGAAAGAGCTGATCACAGTGGACAGGAGAAAAAGGAGAAGGAGGCACTGACGAGTGCGACTGCCAGTGGGCTGGATGTGCTGAGAGTGGTGGTGGGGAGATGATCAGGGCTGGTGACATAGAACTGTTGCTCTTTGACTCCTTCTCAGGTTTAGGTTGGCCAGTCCTGTTCTAAAACAATGACCGTATTATGCTTTTATAGTAATTTTTATGCATAGAATTCAATGTGCTTTAAAAAAGAAAGTAACTATAATTATCCCCATTTTATAGATGGGGAAACTGAGGCACCAATTCAAAGTGACTTGAGTCACACAGCAAGTCAGAGGAGCCAGGAATAGATTTCTAGGTGCCTGATTCTTATCCTAGCCACTGGTCTTGGGCTAATTTCCAGGCTTCCCTATAGTGTAGATGTGCTATTTTGAAATAAGCTATTTCGGAATACTTCTTCCCAAATAGTTTATTCCGAAATAATCATGCAGTGTAAGCATAGCCTAGCTGTCTAAGCTTTTTTGTGCCCAATGCTATAAAAACATCTATATATTTTGAAAAAGGTTTTTATTGTAGTCTGAGAACTGTAGCTCTTGTTTCATTTGTTTAGCTGATATATAGCATAGAAAAACATTTCAACATAACCTACAGCTGCTTGATAACATTTTCATAGGAGAAACAGAAAACCTTAAAGCTCCATTTGAAGGTTCTACAACTGAAGCAGGAGGTATAGCCCTTGCTCTGTATTCAGCTCTCTATTCCTACTCTGGATGGGATACCCTGAATTATGTCACTGAGGAGATGCAGAATCCTACAAGGTATATTTGTGACCACAGTGTGTGTACTGTCAAATTCCCCAAAGATTATTACAAAGATTATGACAGGATGATCCAATGGCTGAGTTCAGTGGGATTTCCCCCCTTTTTTAAATAAATCAAACTACTGTCTATAAAATAATTCTTTGCTTTTGAAAAGAGCTACTAAGCATCACACCTCTTTGTGGCTTCCCTTTATCTCTTCAGATTTATTAGAGCAAAGAATCAGTAGCTCCATATGGGACATTATTATGTACTTTACTCTTTATAGTGGTATTTCCAAATACTCATAAGGAATTTTGGGCACCCACCTTTCACTGAAAGTGAACAGGATGGGGGACCTAACTTCCACAGGCCCTTTAAAATTCCAGCTGGGATCTGTCCCTGTTGTATTTTACCTTTGAGAAAATAAGCCCAAGATCAAGGGTAATAATAAACTGAGGGAAAAGGGAAAGATGAAAAAAAAAATTACACTAATGTTCCAGGCACATATTCATTTCCTAAGGCCTGGGCTACGCCTAAAACTTAGATCAATCTAGCTATATTACTCAGGCTGTGAAAAATGTCATGATGTCATTTCCTGTGCAGAGGTCTAAAATAGGAGTGCAGGAGGAGCTGCAGTGCCTCCTGCTTAAAGAGCGTTCCATTATATCCAGCATTTACAGTTTGATTCAATTGCTCTCAGCATCGCTACTACACGCATTGTTCTTGCACCCTGGACCCTCTGCGGTCTAGTTAGGCTAACTTAATCCTTGGTGTAGATGCAACTAGGTCAACAGAAGAATTCTTCCATCAACCTGACTATTATTTCTTGAATAGATGGATTTACCACAGTAACAGGAAAATCCTCTTCTGTTGCTGTAGTAAGTGTCTGTACTACAATACTACAGCAGCAAAGAGGCAGTTGTGCTGCTGTTGCACTTTTTGCACAGAGATACTCTTTGGTTAAAAAAATAAATAAAAAGCGAGTTGAGAAACAGTAGCTATGTCTTCACTACAAATTCTACAACACAAGCCACCGCAGTTTTTAGGGTGTGTCTACACTGCAGGCTTAACTCGAAATAAGCTACACAAATTGAGCTACATGAATTGTGTAGCTTTTTTCGAAATAGCTTACTTTGAGTTTTGGTGTTGCCTACACAGCACGTATTTCAAAACAAAGCTCTCTTTCTCCGACTACCTTTACTCCTCATAAAATGAGGGTTACAGGAGTCAGAGTAAGAAGTCCTCCAGCTTGACAGTATTTTGACATTGTCAGAATAACTGCCGACTGTATAGACGCAGACTATGTTATTTCAAAATAACGCTAGTTATTTTGAAATAATGTTGCTGTATAGATATATCCTTAGAATTTTGTTCCTGCATGTACAAACCTAGCTTCTTGCATTGGCACTACACATAAGCACCAGAAATGCTTGAGTCAATATAACACGTGATCCACTGTGGGGAGATATCCCAATGTGGCACACGCCAATGCCTTTTGAAGAATTTTCATAATGCATCATGGGGTCCACACAAATCATGCAGGTGTATTTTATCTTCTTGTATATGATCCCTTTGGGGACCCATCTAAAAACCCAGAAGGGCCTCTCCATCTTTAGACAGGAAGGAACAGAAAAAAAACTTTGTGAATAAAATTCTTCCAGGATGGAATGAATGAAAAAACATTCCCCAGGGTAAAATTTGGACATATGGGCACTGAGGGTATGTCTTCACTACTGGCCAGATGGATAGGGCAGCAATCAATCTAGTGAAGACCTGCTAAATTGACTTCTGATTGCTAGGATGTTGACTCTGGTACTCCACGGTAATGGGAATTGTAAGGTGAGTGGTTTGGAGAGCATCTCCCATCAATATACTGCAGTGAATATATTGTAGTAAGTAGATCAAAGTGCATTGACTTCAGCTACATCATTCACATAGCTGAAGTTACATAACTTAAATCCATCTCCCCTATAGTGTAGATTAGCCCTGATAATCTGTCAACCTAATTACATTGATGGTGACTCTACATCACTCTGGGAGGTTATTTTACTAAGGCCACCTCTATGCTGGTGAGCTGACAAATGGTACTGATGTAGTTGTACCACTGTAAGATCTCTAGTGTAGTCACTTGATGCCAACAGGAGAGCTTTCTCTCATTAACATAATTAATCCATCCTCAACAAGTGCTGAGATCTTTTCTCACCAACATAACACTGTCCACACCAGTGCTTATATCACTGTAACTTATTTTACTCCGAGGATGATTTGTCTCCTGAGCAACATAAGTTGTACAACATAAGTAGGAGTGTAGCCATGACCTAAATCATCAGGGAGAGGCACATATGTTGGCAGGACACTTCCACAGCTAGGTCATCCCAAGGCAGCTTATGTCAACCTAATTCTGTAATGTAGGCCAGACCTGAATATATTTCCCAGACCAGAAGACCTCTAAATAAGCTCAAAAACTTGTCCCTCTCACTAACAGAAGTTGGGCCAATAAAAGATATTACCTTACTCACCTTGTATTTAGGAGGACCATTTCTTTTTTAATACATACCATTTTATCTTTCTCTTTGTAGGAATCTACCCCTCTCAATTGCAATTTCAATGCCTGTTGTGAGCATTATTTACTTGCTGACTAACATAGCATACTATGTAGTGTTGGACATGCCAGCTCTCCTAAGTAGCGATGCAGTGGCAGTGGTAAGTTGTGTGAAATTTGAATAAAATGCCAATGTTTACAGTATATATCCCACTATGGAAAATACTCTGTAATTCCTTGTACAACAGATTTTTTAACCAAGCAATTAAGATGATGTGTGTGCATTTAATGGCAATAATTAATTGTTCCTGTGTAATAACACCAGTGCACTGTGAGGTCCAGACATAAAGCATATCTCCATATGAATTGGTGCTTGTTGAACCATTTTATAATCCCTCAGTATATCATGCCAGCTCTGTGCAGATAGCTAGCATAATAGACTTCAAGGGAGCTCCCAAAGACCACAGACTCAGATAAGATATGAAGGCACCTGAGTCAGGTTTATTGTTGAACAAAGTACATTAATAGTTGTCAGTAGCCAGAGAGCCTCTGTGCATTTGTACCCGTGACAGTGGACACAGCACAGTCAATAATATGGATTCACTATTGCCCCCTAGATTGGACAAGAGTTAAGTCGAGTTACCCCAACATTTATAGACTGAGACAAACAATCTATGATACACACCGTACATATCGTATGCATTAATGACACATTTGATACCTCCCCTTGTACTTTCCTCCAGAGCATTCCTATTCCTCACCTGTTGTTATGCTTTCACTCCTGATGTTTCAGACAAAGTATCACTATTCACCACTTTTTGTCAACCTATTTTATCATGTGCGAAATTGGGGTGTCCTTGCACTGTCCAGGTGGAATGTATTTACATGTTCCATGTGGTTTTAGCAGTGCTAGCAGTCCTCATGCCAAGTTCATGTCCCGGACACTTGACTGGCAAGCAAACATCTGCTTGTGACAAGGCCTGACTGTTACTCATAGTATAGCTCTTCTTACTTTGGTTCAGGTCTCAGACCTTGCTTCAGGCTTTTTTTTTTTTTTTTTCCTCTACAGCAACCACTATTTCAAACCCATTTTATAGAAATTAACCAAAATCCAATTTTGTTTCATTCCAAATATAGGGTTTATCTTAACATTGGTCAGCCTTTCAAAATTCCACTCAGCAAGAGTAATGTTCATTTCATCATGGGCTAGGAGACCCTGTGCTTGGGCTGATAAATTTTTCTGACTGTTTTGCAAGGAAGGCTGTGATTGCATAGTTCATGTAATTATCCTCCCGCTCTTTCTTTTCCACTGCAGACATTTGGTAATGAAACTCTTAGCTATGCTAAATGGATAATACCTATCGCAGTGGCGATGTCTTGTTATGGTGGATTAAACTCATCAACTATTGCAGCTTCCAGGTATGAAACATCACACATGTAAAAAGAAGGCAGTACTCAAAGGGCAATCAATAGCACTTTGTAGTAAGTGGCATCATTTAATAATATATTACAGTGGGATTTGCTGAAGTTAAGAATCTTCATTTCAGCTGTTTAGTATTGTAGGATATAGGTCTGCAAAGAAGAGGGCAAAGAAGGAAACAGTTGAAAGGGCCTGAGGCTCCTGGCCCTTTAAATCCCTGCTGGAGCACTGCACAGTGTGCTACAGAGCCCCAAGTAGCACTCCAGATGGTGCTGAGGGTGAGGGGCATGGTACGGGTGTCGCTGAGAGCTGGCTGCCCCAGCACTGTCCTTTCCACCCGAGGCCTTCCCTCTTCCAGGAGCATGGAGCTGTGTCTCCTCCACTTTGCCCAGGGACTCAGTGAGTCTGTCAGCTTGCCTGGTAGAATAAAAGTAATGCACTCTTAAATGTTAAGAATGTGGTCTAAGGTAACAATAGAATGTTAACAAGAGTGGTTGGTGAGTTTCTTTCTATCACATTGGTCTATCTGGAAGACTTGCTACAAGCAATTTAGGGTCCAGGTGTGACTGCTGTAAGATGGGAGGGTATAAGGACTCCCATGCGTAACTGACATAAGATGTATTCCAGGTGCACAAAGAATGTTCCCCATTAGTGCCACCCAGGAAATGAACCACCCAAAAGGAGTGAGGAATGGTAGTGGGGAGGGCATATAAAATTGTCCGTCTATTGTATACTATCCCTCTTAGTAAGGGACACAGCAGATTCACTACCCTTCATGCTTTGGGACGCATTGTATGAGATGCACTTGTGTCTTGGCACTGTGTTCCAGACGCTCTGGCTACAGCAATATAGCTCAGCACTGCTTCCTTTGCCAAGTGGCAGTTACTTACCATGGTGTGGCCCTATGATTGTACACTGCCAGAGGCATGTGCCTCTCTTCCGTTAGTTATATGTGAAGCCCACGGCAGATCTCTATGGTTCTGACAGCTTGTAGGGTAAAATCTGAATATATAAAGTGATCTGTGAGCACACCTCCAGATTTCTGCAAGAAATAACATGACTAGGATACAGGTTTTATTTTAGAGGCAATTAATAGACCAATTTCATTTATGTTACACTTAAACTCCACTCCAATTCACCTGATGAAGTTGGTTTTACCCAGGAAAGCTTATGCCCTAATAAATCTGTTAGTCTCTCAGGTGCCACAAGACTCCTCATTGTTTTACAGATACAATGCAACGGCTAGCCCTGGGAGACATTACACTAAAGAATGTCTATATTCTTCCCTATCTTTCATCTGTCAGACATTTGTCATGCTGGATATTACTATGCTGTGATGTCTGAAACTGATCCAGTAATAGTGCCTGTTGATAACTCATAAACAATAAACAAAATTAGAACTGTTTAAACAGGGGGGGGAAAGGGCCACTTAAGAATTTTTTCCTTTCAGTCAAGCCAGAATTGAACTGTCATAGACATATACCATCACGCTCACCATAAATTTGATACGGGTTCTATTCAACAGAATTGAAAGTGTGATAATGTTGCCGTGTGTGAATACATTAGGAGGAATCTGAATATTTTTCCAAACCTGAAGGAATACTACAATCCAATGATATAAGGGAATCATTTAGCACTATCTTTGTCCAATATATCATGTAGTCCCAGAACACATGGTCATCTTTCTGTAATGCCAGAATTAAATAATTCGGACTTTGCAAGTTTAGTATGGGATTATTATTCACTTGTGGGGAGAAACACTGCTGTTGGCCTAATAAATATGCAAAACTAGCTGACTATAGCGGTGGGCTCTTGGGTAAGGTGGGGGCCATTCCATACTCCCAGAAGGGGTAGGGCCTTGGGCAGAAGGGGCGGGGCTGAAATAGCCAGCCCTCCGCTCCACCTGGAGCATGATATGCCCTACACCCTGTGCCCTGAGAGCCACAAGGAGTGCATAGTGTGGTGCTCTGACAGGAATTTAAAGGGCCCAGGGCTCTGGCACCACTGCTGCCACAGTAGCAGCAATGGTGGCCAGAGCCCTGGACGCCTATGAATTGCTGGATCCAGGGGCAACTGCCCCCATTACTGCCCTGCATCAGCAGGCCTGCTTGAGGCAAATCAAGTCTAAGCCCATTTGTGCAAGGGCTGGACAAACACATAGTAAATGACTATTCCTGTTCCAAGTTGCTTCCAGTCTAAAAGCCTGCATGGAGCTTCTCTACCTATGCAAAGGGAAGGATCCAGATATGGCTCTCCTAAAAAGGAAGCATGCTCGGCATAGACGATTGGCGTGAATTATACACATTTGCACTGTCAAATTGCATTGTGGTAGCACGGTCCTGGTAGGGACTTTTGATGTTATAGAAGCAATAGAATTTAGTATATTTCAGGCTTTAGGAAGTTATTTCAAGAATATTTAGTGCAATGTTTCTTCAATAAACAGATGCTTGCAAGGAATTACTATTGCCAGTAGCATTGTAGTGATTCTCAAAAGGACTCTTGAAAATGAGCCACATTGCAGTGCAGTGCAGTCTTCTGATTATCTAGCAGTCTCATCTACATTTGTCACATTAAGTCAAATCATCCCTTAATGATGGAGATGTTTTTGTGCCCTGGCTGGTAATCCAGAGCTATGTATAATTCAATAAAAGGCAAAGGTGGACAAAAGACTGGTACTTACAACAGAAAAGCATGTTTCTTCATAAATGTTTACAACAATAACAAAAAACAAGACAATTGGTTCTGTTGTAGTAGAAAAACAGGATTCTTGGCTAATTAGATTTTTCTTTCTTTCCTTTTGTGTTAGGCTTTTTTATGTGGGTGCCAGAGAAGGACACCTTCCTGACAGTTTGAGTTTGATTCATATAAAGTGCTTCACACCCGTCCCTGCTCTTTTCTTTAATGTAAGTAACAGTATTTCCTCTCACTTTACTATTTTAAGAAATGCAAAATGGTAAAGGGTTTATATTCAATTTTTTCAGGCCTGTCTGCTCTGGGCAAATTTCCCCCAGAAAGTTGAACTAAATTGGGGTTTTTTAAACAGTTGATGCCTTGTATCCTGATTTTCATTTACACTCAGCCAAGCTGAGTAAAGTGCCCTTCATGTGAATTAGAATTAGGCCCAGAGGGTAGGAATAGTCAGCCAAAACTAGTTATAAAATCTTCTTTAGGAGGTTCTTTGGATCGGTTAAAGAAAGAGGAGGTTTAAAATGCATAACAGTGTAGACCAGTGGTTTTCAAACTCTTTTCCTCATGACCCAGTTGAAGAAAATTGTTGATGCCCGCGATACAGTATAATTGTATCTTTTAACTAAGGTACAGGCTCCAGGTGGGGCCGCAGGGATAAGGGGTTGAGTGTGCAGGGAGTGAAGGCTTTGCATAGGGATGTGGGCTTGGGGGTGAAGCCAGAGATGAGGGACTTGAGATGTAGTCTGGAGGATGGGGCAGAGGGGTTCAGTATGCAGGAAGGGACTCTGGGCTGGGGTATGGGGGTGGGGTACAAGGAGTGCAGGCTATAGGATGGGGCTGAGGATGAAGTGTTTAGGGTGCAGGAGAGGTTTTGGGGTTGGAGGGGCTCAGGGCTGGGACAGGGGATTGTCGGGGCACTGGCTTACCTCCAGCAGCTCCTAGTCAGTGATGCAGTGGGATGGTAAGGCAGGTTTCCTGCCTGTCCTGGCACTGTGGACAATATTGCTCCCTGGAAGTGGCCAGCAGCAGATCCAGCTCCAGGGGCTACCCATGCCCCAAGCTCTGGCCTTAGCATCCCCGCTAATCACCTGGTCACCCTACAGCAGTGATTTTCAAAGTATGGGTCATGACCCCGTACTGGGTTGCGGGAAGTCAGGCCAGGGTCACCTTGCTGTAAGGTGACCAGGTGACCAGGTGACCAGCAGAGGTGCTAAGGCCAGCTTCCTGCCTGTCCTGGCACAGCAAGATGCACTATGCCCTGGAAGCAGCTAGCAGCAGGTCTAGCTCATAGGTGGAGGCGAGTAGCCAACTCTCACAAGATAAAAAAGCAAAATAAGCCAAGAAATGAAGCCAATCCCATTTCAAAACAAGCCCAGAGTGAGCTCCACCCATTTTTGCTCGGCAGTGCCTGGAACCAGCCAATGGGCATGTGGAGCCAGAGCTTGTGGGGAGAGGAGCAGCTCGTGGAGCGGCACACGGAGCCAGCCACTGCCTTTGCTGGTCTCCCTTTCGTTCTGTCTCTTGACACCTCTTGTCCTGTTTCTGGCCAGCACTGGCTATGTCCTGTCATGGGTGTTGAGTATGGGCAAGTGTCAGGTAGCAACCAGTTACATGTCACCTCTGCTGCCTACCCAACAGCCCTTTACAAGCCCGCCTTCTTGCTGCCCAATCCTGCTTTGCCCCTTTGCTCTCCCTAACCCCGATGCCCACCATATACCAGGGTTGGGTGCATCTCGCTCTTAGTGTTGTGTGGAGAACCAGCTCCTGGTCAAAACACTGAGCTCACCAACAGCCTTCCTTCCCCCACTGTGGCTGTGTCAACGCCCTTGGAAAGCCCAAGATTCTCCAGCCCAGGGTGTTGCCCAGAAGGAACTAAGCCCTGTGTGTGCCAAAACCCTGCACAACACTGGCATGGGGAAATCTCTCTGCCCCTCAGATAAGCTCTGGAGAGGCAGAGGAGACAGAAGTGGTTTGTTTGCACCCTGGCCCTGCAGGATCCACAGCAGCCCCTGGGAAGGTGCTTAGCATCTTCTTCATGTACCTAGGTCCTTCTCAGCCTCTCAAGAAGCCTGAAGCAGCTCCGTCCCCTAAGCACCCTCCTCTGCTGAGCCATTTGTATGGTCTGGTTCCCTGAAGCCCCGGTAGTCAGGTTCCCTGGGTCCTGGTGCACAATGAAGTTTCTCACTATAGAAGAGGGGTGGGTGGGACAGGGGAAAGAGATAAGCTCTGCAAAGACCCGGGCCAAGTCATCCCTTCCCCCCATCTTCCTCCCCTGTGGCTGGAAGCAGCTTCTATTGCTTCCCCCTCACAGAGTGCTGAAAGGCTGCTGGCTACATTCTTGTGTGAGCCCTGACAGAAATCTGTGTAAGAGGAGCATGTGACCCTGCACAGCTCCCTCCCTTGTTGGGTTTATACATTCGATTGCCATTGAACTCACTAGAATACAATTAATTTTACCCGATGCCCCACATTCAGAACGGGGAAATATGGTCACCCTAATAATCTTTAGTCCAATTTAAAAAATCCAGATAATATAAAAAAATATTTTGAACATCTCTAATGCCCACATGCTTTGGAAATTTGGCAGAAGAGTGGCCTTTGTATCAAGAATGTGCCTTTTGCTGATCTTGTGAAAATCTGCCCAACTTTGGCCAAGAGAGAAGCCTTTTCAGAATCTCCATTAACACATGCTCAGTAGAGACATCTTCAGTTTTTAGCAGGGCCTGGGCACTAGACCAGAGAGTAGGGAGTGTCTCTCTCCTGTGCTCTCAGGGAACAAATACACCGGGATAAAAGACCCACGGCATGGCTGTGGCTGTCCTGGCCAGCTGACTTGGGCTTGTGGGGCTCAGCTTGTGGGGCTAAAAAATAAAATTGTTGTGTAGATTTTCAGGGCGGGCAGGAGTCCAAGACCCTCCACCCTGGCAGCATGAGGCCAGACATCTTTTGTCCCTGTGTACACATAAACGCAATGACACCCACCCTCCAGACTGCTGGCACCCACACAGAATGGAGGTGGAAGACTGCCAACTCCCATGCAGAGAAGACAGTCAGTGGGCCTGGGAACAGGGCGGGGGAGAGGAAGGAACAGATTGTCTAAGGAATCTGATGGCACTGGAAGCTGCGGGAGGAGAGAGGAAAAAGAAAATAGGATGAGCTAGGTCCAGGGCCTTGGCCTGTCAGCCAGTGGGGAGGGAAGGCTGGGAATGATTGGGAGCCAAGGAGAGACTCGGACAAGAAGCCTAAGGAGTGGAGACTGGGATTGAATAGGCAAAGAGAAGGAGCAAGAGACAAGGAGTGGAACAGGTACAGCTTGAAGGGGCTGGGGAAACAGAAGTCAGGCTTGGAGGCATGAGGAGGTTAGGCAGAAAGCTCTGTGACCACTAACACACACTCCCTTCCAGCACCTAGAATGAACCCAAGACTCCTGCGTCTTGTCATTCTTTGGCTCTCAGCATAACTGTAAAATCCACTGGCAAAATGGATGTCTCATCCCCCTGTAGACGAGGTTGACATAGTGGATAACAAATTACTATTGCTACCAGTTACTCTACTAGTACAAGTTACAGAGGTCTGTGAAGGGCTCCAAAGATTCCAATGTGGCTGATGAACCAGGCGGGTGTCTGTCAGATACCACATGATGGATTTGAGGATTTTTTTTCCATTTTGCTTCTTCAAAAAATGAGGAGATTACACATAGGGAAAGCATATCAAACGAACATTATTAAGTCAATTAATCAAAAGCTAGAACATGCGGGAAAAGCTGCCTGTACCCCCTTTGAATGCATGATACAGCCTTTCATCCCATGATCACATGCTGTTTTTAACCACAAATCCCCTTGCTCAGTCAGTGTCCACAATGGGCTTGCTCTGGGGACAGAGCATGGCTGTGTTCTGAATGAGGTTGTTGTCTGTAGGGCCATTGCCTAATTTAGAAGTTGTGTAGTGAATGAGGTAGGGGGATTTCAGGAGGGGAAGAGATGGGCTCACAGTCAAGGCAGTTGAGTGCCACTGTGGAGAATTGGATTCCATCCCTGCCTCTGCCAGAGCTGCTTCTGTGATGCTGAGCAAGTCCTTAGACCATCCTTCTCACAGGTAGCCTCTAAGTCTCTGTTTCTCATTTTCTAGGTTCCTAACTTGAGACCCTGGATCTGATTTGCATTAGTGTGGAGCACTCCGTGCTGCAACTGAAGTCAATGAGAACTATGCTCTGAACAGATACAGTTCTATATAATGCGCAGATTGTAGTTGTCTCAAGTTAGACACTCATGTACGTGGAAAATTTTGAAATTATTCTCTCTCTGCCTCAGAACCCCATATGGGGAAATGACCCCCTCCCATCACATGGATTTTGGGACAATAAACTAACAATTTTGAAACAGTCGTATACTATACTAATGAACATGCTAGACAAGCCCATGAGGAAATTAATCATTCTGTCTTCAGCGCTGGTTTGGATGGTGTGCAGTAAATAATGATGTGCATAGGGCTACACATTGACAAGTGAGGATAAAACAAAGTGCAGAACAGATGCTCATTTTTCGGCACTGTCCACCAGAGCACTTACAGGTTTCTTCCTGGTTCTGAAACCATAGCTTTCAGTGACTTCAGTTGGAAGTTAGGAGCTCAGCACCACTAAAAATCAGGCCTTTAATCTGTATTTAGTATATAGTATATTTCTGTTCCATAACAAAATGATTTTGTAACTCAAAAAAGCCTTCTCACCTTTATTACTATAGGGTTTGATGACTTTGATTTACCTCCTTGTGGAAGATGTTTTTCTCCTTATTAATTACTACAGCTTCAATTACTGGCTGTTTGTCGGACTGTCTATTGCAGGATTAATATATCTGAGACATACTCAGCCTGATAGGCCACGGCCTATTAAAGTAAGTACAAAGAAGGAAATAGAACATCATATACTGTCAATGCATCTGTGTGCATGTACATTATAGTAATACTGCAGTACTAAGAATGTGTCAGCAGCTCCCTTACATCCTATTCTTTTAGCCATAACAATCCTTTGAACATATCCTGTCACAAGTTAAGGAGTACAATGTATTCTAGCTTTCAGAAGGATTTCTTTGTCATTTTTGCTATCTAGAGCACAAAAATTGACAATTATTGATTTTGTGACTCATTTTTGCTTCTGTGCAACTTTAAACTTTCATGTTTCCCTCATAGTGGATTTCTACACTGCCACAGTTACAGAGTATCCAGGGCTCCATTGCAGTTCAATATTCTTGTTTGATGACATTTCCTATATTTTGGGAAATTGTGAGCTGCCAGATAATAGTTCCACTTTTCCTTCTTTTGTGGTACGTCACCTTCTTCCCTTCATCCATGTATATACCTTCCATCCAAAACATGTAGGCTATGTCTACACTGGCATGATTTTCCGAAAATGCTTTTAATGGAAAAGTTTTCCGTTAAAAGCATTTTCGGAAAAGCGCCTCTAGATTGGCAGGACGCTTTTCCGCAAAAGTACTTTTTGAAGAAAAGCGTCCATGGCCAATCTAGACGCGCTTTTCCGCAAAATAGCCCCGATCGCCATTTTCACGATTGGGGCTTTTTTGAGGAAAACAGTACTATGCTGTCTAAACTGGCCCTTTTGCACAAAAGTCTTTTGGAAAAAGACTTTTGCCTGAACAGGAGCAGCATAGTATTTCTGGAAAAGCACTGATGATTTTACATGAGATCATCAGTGCTTTTCCAGAAATTCAAGCGGCCAGTGTAGACAGCTCGCAAGTTTTTCCGGAAAAGCTGCTGATTTTCCAGAAAAACTTGCCCGTCTAGACACAGCAGTATGGTAGTGGGCATGTGAGGTGTATTAATGCTACTTAGGTACTCCAGGAAATGGTGTCTTAAACACTCTACAAGTACAGAAGAGTGTTTGTTACCCAGCAACATTAAGACAGCCAAATGAATTTATGTAAAATGCAAATTAGTAACCCTTCATGAGCTTTTCCAAAGACTTTATTTTGACTCTCTCCTGTCACAGTGCCCTCTACAATCCTTCCCAGCATCAGTTTTTGTCTGTGTGCTATTAAGGACTGCAATGTTTGATTGCTATCCATCACTTACCACAAAAACAGAATTCCTGTTAAATACAATACATTAAATACACGGACTAAAGTTAGTAAGCTTGCTAGTTCTTCAAAGCTAGGGTTTTTTTTTAATTTCAAGGGAAGACCTTTGGCTCAAATTTTAAATGTGAAAAACAACAACAAAACCCAACATCACAACAACCAATAGAAGAAACTTCTGCTCAATCCTTTTTCTGCTGTTTTTGACCAACCAGATTTGTTCTCCTTTGGACGTCAGACCAACAAAACACAAGCTGCTTATGGGTCCCTTGCAGCCCACAAATCTTCCAGTTGTAAAAATGAACAGTTGGATTCCACCCTTTGTCATATGCAGCCTATTTTAGCAACAAATAGCTTTGATAAACCTCATTATCTTCACAACTTCATTAATAAACTCTCCAGATAATAGGCAGAAGAGAGGAGAGAGGCCCTATTAAAATCAATGGGAATTTTGACATAACCTTCAGTACAACCAAGATTGCACTCAGAAATGAATAAATAAGCACCCACAGTCAGCTTAGATAAACTTGCTATTACTCTTTGGCTGCTTCGTTGACCTCATATTTTTTGCATGCAATTTTGTGCGCACTCAGTGAATTGTTTTCTTTAATTTACATTTTACTTACATAAAAATAATATTTATACTAAATCTCTCTCTTTTTCTCTTATAAGTTATAGCTAGCTATGACATTTTGAAAGGTCATTCCTGAGAACAGTGGCTAGGTATCAAAGTTTGGTTCTATTTTGAGAAATGAATCTGTGGAAGGGTTTATCATGGGATTCCGAATTTGTTTTTCCAATATTTCTGTATCAGATTTGCTGATTTTACATCTCTGCCAACTCTGCAAACTCAATTTGAAAGTCAAGCTGCTTCATTCAAGTTCTGACATCCAAATGATAAAAGTTGCACTAGAAGCCTAAAGGGGAAAATCCCTCCATGGAAGAGCTCAGTTTCAGTGCTGTGCTCTTACTGCATTTGTCGATTGTTCATAAATGTCAATTGGAGCTGAGTTTGTGTAGTCCTGGTAAAAGGATGGATGGATACAGACACACACATGCATTTACACCTGGGGGGCAGAGGTAATTCCCCCCAAGTCTTCTCCAGACTCTACTTCAAGTAATTTATAGCATCCTTTTCCCTACTTTGTAGTATATGAAGGATACCCAAGTTAAATGAATAAACAGACAAAAGAAAGGTCCTTTCAGGTGAAGAGGAAGGTGGCCTGTCTCTCAGGTTGTCTTTCTAGATTCAGCTCTTTGGATCTAGCCTATTAATAGGTCTATTGCCTTTTATTAGGGTCTAACTCCAGCCTCTTCTTTTGATGTGTCCTGCTCTATAGCTGGTTGGTACAGCTTTGTGGGCAGTGTCCCCCTCTTGGCGGATGTGTCTTTGTGATCAGCAGTCTCTGAGGTGAAGCAGCTCTTCTCTTCTGCCCCTTCCCCTTGTAGCAGTCCCTTTCCTTTTTTAAAGTTATGCTTCTCCCAGGCAAAGTGATCCTGACACATCTGCCTCATTAGTGCCTCAGTTTATAAGGCCATATGTTTTTCAAGAGTAGTCATTGCTTCTTTTAATTCGTGTTGCTCTTTTTGTATTTGCAGCTCAGCCTCTTCTTTCCTGTAGTGTACTGTTTATGTTCCATTTTCCTGGTCATGGTTCCCCTCTACAGTGACACAATCAATTCCCTTATTGGAATTGGCATAGCCCTTTCTGGAATTCCTGCATATTATTTGGGAGTCCATTTACCATCTGAAAAGAAACCTAAATGGTGTCAGTGGCTCTCTGGTAAGCAATGTAGCATTATATTAGTATATGAATATGTACAGCTTTATGAGTAGACACCTGTAAATATAAATACATCTTAGCTATTTTTTCTGGATCTTTTGTAAAATTTGTTCTCGCAGCAATTTTTAATATATAACACAGGACATGTTTAGGAAGCTTTGCTGAGATTGTTATATGTCTCAGAGGGAAAAAATAACCTAAGCCATGCAACTTTACAGAATTTTCCTACATGTAGATATAATAAAAGGACAGGTTGAACCTCTAAAATCTAGGATTCTGTGGTCCGTCATCACCCATGATTCAGCATGACCACATATGTTCCAGGATCAGAGCGTCCTGGTGAGTTGCATGGGGGTGGGGGCCCGGGAGCCACATGGCTCAGTGGGGCTGCAAGGGCGGGCCAGGAGCTGGCGTGCTGCTCAGTTGAGCTGCAGGGGCAGGGGTGGGGGTGAGGAGCTGGCATGTATCTCAGCTGGGCTGTGGCAGGAACCAGAAACCCTGAGGGCCTGGCAGCAAGAGGCCTGAAATGACCTCCACTGGTCTGGAAAAATCCTTTATTCAGAACCAGTCAGGTCCTCAGGTGCCGGACCAGGGAGGTCCAACCTCTGCTACCCTACATTAATTATAAGTCACTCTGGAGGAATAATTTATATTGGCTCAGTCAAAAGTCCTACTTCTGTTGAAGACTGATGAAGAGATCTATGTGAACACACAAGAACAAAAGTTAGACCAGTAAAATATTACCTCACTCACCTTGTCTCTCTGCAGACTAAAGTTGTTCATTTTTGTCTCCTGAAGGACTGAGGGTACCACATAACTGCATTGTTTCACTGACTGACCAATTAGCGTAGTATCTGATTTAGACTGCCTATTTTGATACCCAGTTAAAATGTGAATTCTGCTAGAATGATGGATATTTGAGATTGGTAAGGGCTGACATTGACATTGGGGAAAAATGGTGGTTCAGTAGGGCTGTATACACTGGGTGCTCTTTTCCAGGATCAATTGAAAAAGAGGCTCTATGTGTGTAGGATGGGACAGATGTTGGAACTTGTATAAATAACCTGATACAATCTTTTTAGGGTTGTAAACATCAGCAGAAAGTTTGCTAAATTATTAAATCATTAATGTAGCGGACTCAGGTTTAGAAACTAGTTGCTGCAGAGGATTATGCATAGCTCTGATACTGACTTATAAACTGGTCTTCAAAGGCTCAGTCTTCATAGTTCCTTGCTCTGTTTGATATGGCTCTTACAAATTTCTAGTAAATTCAATGAAGGGTTGATTAAAGAGTAAGAATGTCAAAATTGGGCTTTGATGTCTCTGTAACATGGATTTATTCTCCCTTACAGAGGTGTTGCAAAGCTTCACTAATGTTTGCAAAGTGCTTTGTGATTCATGCACAGCAACGTTCATAAAAGACCAAAGTTCTATTGTAACTTTATCTCATCTATGTGTTTTTTTATCTTGTAGCCACAACAACAAAATATGTTCAGATGCTGTTCTACTGTTGTCTAACGGATTTGGACATTCAAGTGGATCAGACAGAAGCTAAAGACAAATAGACATTTCCATACTTTAAGCATTTGCTTATTGTCGGAAGTTCTTTGTGTGGGTTTGGTTACACTAAAGCACCAAGAATTACACTCTGCATCAGTTTGATGTTAATTATTTTTGTGCTTATTTTATTAGCCCCTTCACTGCGAAGGGTATTTACCAATCCCTGTGCTACAGGATTTTTTAACTTTCTTTATGAATGCTGATTAATTAGCTGGTAATTGTGAAGTGCTTTGAAAATAAAAAGCACTGTTTGAATAAGCATTTCATATTATGTATGTGTTCATTTTTGCAAGCCTTTCGGAATAAATCTTTCCAAGGCAAAAGCAGAATTGGAGAAATAAAAAGACGAATGAAAGAATCCAGTGCAAATCATACACTTCCTAGAGTTACATTTCTAAACCTGAAGTGGGAAAAGAAAGTCACAATATAAATGTAAGAATTTTATTGCAATTAATAAATCTGTTTCTCAGCAAAAAATGTTTAAGTAGGCAGGTATTTTCATATTATAAATGCACCACTGGAACAACAAATATTTTAATCTAAAATCCCCTAAATAGATCCCAACAGACACATTTAATTCTTTTACATGAAGAAAACAGTGAAAGGACTATCTGAAAAATAAAAGCTCTGTGCTAAACCTTATGTGAGGACATACAATTGTCATCTTTTTGCAATAAAGGCCTTTTAGATGATAAATTAATTCACATGGTTGTTGTCATCAGATAGATAAGTCTCTTGCAGCTTGCTGTGGAGTAGGATAAAAACACTGCAAGTTCTACTTCAATATATGTATATTCAGGGATAAGCACATCACCTTTCTATAGTGCAGCGGCATTTGCCTACAGACATAAAAAATTGTGGCATCATAAATTATAATAGGTATGCTAATTGGCTTTCATTTTGGAAGGGACTACGCATTTAACCTCCGAAAACGTAAAAGAAAAAATACATAGTTGGAACTTAAGCAGCAGAAACAGTTCCTCTAGTGTTTCCTGATATACACTATGGCTACGTTTATACTACGAGTTTTCTCAGCAAAAAAAAAAGCTAATGAGGGACACATTTGCGTGAGCTGTGATCTCATTTGCATATTTTCTGCTGACCCATTTTTGCACTGGGGTTTTTGCTCAAAAATCAAGCAATGTGGATATTTTCTTTCTGTGCAAAAGCCCCTTTTTCTGCAAGCTCCTTATGCCCCCAAAAATGAGGTATACTGATCTTGCGGGAAAAGGAGGTTTTACGCAAAAAGAAAACCTCCACGCTACTTGTTTTTGTGCAAAAACCCCAGTACAAAAATGGATTGGCAGAAAATATGCAAATGAGATTGTGACTCATGCAAATGAGTCCCTCATTAGCATATTTTTTGCCAAGAAAACGCAGAGTGTAGACATAGCCTATATGTTGTCATCCTGTAGGATGTGTTACACTTACATGATTTAATGCTCTTGGAATATATGTCATATTCTGTCTGTAGTTTCATTATCAATATTCCTTTCCGTAGCAGCTTCAATTAATGTAAGACATCCAATCCTAAACCGATCTCTAACTTAGGGTGTACGTTATTCTTCATTATAGCCTTCCTGGAGAGTGTTCCAGGGAGAGGGGGAATAGGGATGTAGTGGGGTGGTACTCAAAGCAAGTGGCACCTCTTTCTGGCTGCCCTGGGGATCAGCTCTCATCCCATTTGGAACCCTTTTCTGTCACCCTTTGAATAGCCTACCATCTCTCTGCCTGCAACTCAGGGTACTCTTTCTCCCTGACTTGGCCCTCCAGCCAGGTCACTATAGTCCTTTCCCCCTTCCAAGGATGAAACATCCACGGGATGACAATTTAAAGCAGTCTTCTGCTCCAGGGATTGAGCTATGCCACTTCTCCAGAGGCTGTGGTGACCAGATAATAAATGTGAAAAATCAAGCCGGGAGGTAATAGGCATCTATATAAAAGAGAGTCCCAAATATCAGGTCTGACCCTATAAAATTAGGACGTGATCACCTGAACACTGACTTGTAGGAAAACCTTGATCATCCAGGCCTTCCTTCCAGGCCCTCTTCTGGTTTCCAGCCTACAGACCCTACAATCAGCAGTTAAGGCCTACTGTCCTCAGCTGTGAAGACTCAAGCAAAGAATTTGTTTAGTTTCTCCACAATGACTTTAATTGTCTTTGAGTGATCCTTCAGCATCTCGATCATCCAGTGGCCCCAGTGATTGGTTAGCAGGCTTCCTGCTTCTAATGTACTTTAAAACATTTTGCTATTACTTTTTGAGTCTTTGGCTAACTGCTCTTCAAACTCCTTTTTGGCTTTTCTTATTATATTTTTACACTTAATTTGACAGAGTTTATGCTCTTTTCTATTTTCCTCATTAGGATTTAACTTCCATTTTTTTTAAACAATGCCTTTTTATCTCTCAGAGGCCAAGATGAACAAGTTTTCTCCCTCCTCCTTATGACACACTTTTAGATACCTGAAATCTTCTATCATGTTCCCCCCTCAATCTTCTCTTTTCTAAACTAAACAAACCCAGTTCTTTCAGCCTTCCTTCATAGGTCATGTTCTCTAGACCTTTAATCATTCTTGTTGCTCTTCTCTGGACCCTCTCCAGTTACTCCACATCTTTCTTGAAATGCGGTGCCCAGAACTGGACACAATACTCCAACTGAGACATAACCAGCACAGAATAGAGGGGAAGAATGACTTCTTGTGTCTTGCTCACAACATACCTGTTAATGTATCCCAGAATCATGTTTGCTTTTTTTGCAACAGCATCACACTGCTGACTCATATTCAATTTGTGGTCCACTATAACCCCCCAGATCCCTTTCTGCCGTACTCCTTCCTAAACAGTCGCTCCCCATTCTGTATGTGTGAAACTGATTGTTCCTTCCTAAGTGGAGCACTTTGCATTTGTCTTTATTAAACTTCATCCTGTTTACCTCAGGCCATTTCTCCAATTTGTCCAGATCATTTTGAATATTTTAATGGATTTATAATAGCAATAACCTGTATAGGAAATTAGAATGACCAGAGTGACAAGAAATAGTGAAGAATGCTAAAATACCATATATAATACATGATAATCTAAATAGTCAAAATTAATTGTGGGGAAGTAAGTTGATGGATAAAATATGGAACATGTTTAGAAAAGTTCACTGATGAAAACAATGTAATGTTTTTAAACAATGGTCCCCAACTAAATTAAATGCCATCAGATGCTTAGCTCTGGGAAATACAATATCAGAAATCTGCAAAAAAATGCAACTAAGAACTACATAAGGAAAAAATAATGGGCTGTGATCATTTCCCTATAGTTATTACTAAAGCCATACCTCATTCATGAGATTGCAAAATTGCAGATCCCGCTATATTAGGCTTCTACTGCAATTTTGATTTTATTTGGCTTACTTTTCAGTCCACAATTTTGCACAAGTGACTGTACAGGCAGTCCCCGGGTTACGTACAAGATAGGGACTGTAGGTTTGTTCTTAAGTTGAATCTGTATGTAAGTCGGAACTGGCGTCCAGATTCAGCCGCTGCTGAAACTGACCACCAGTTCTGACTTACATACAGAATCAACTTAAGAACCCCAAGCGTCCCCAAGTCAGCTGCTGCTGAAACTGATCAGCAGCTGATTCCAGGAAGCCCGGGGCAGAGAAAAATTATTGGAATGATATAAACACTCAAATATACTTGCTGATTGTTTTTATAACCAGACATTTTTCTACAACTATTCACTAAAACAAAAATAGTGACTGCTACAATATAAAATTCATAAAGACTAAAAGTCTTAAACAAATAGGTCTACTCTGGCTTTTTCAAATTACCAATATTAATAAATGTGCATTATTACTTTCCGTTGATTTTCTATGTCTTATCTGCAACTCAAGCCTCAATTATTTATAGCTAATCCTGCCATTCAATTAGGGCCTTACTTATTACTTTTCAAGGACAAAGTAAGGTGGTAGTGATCAGATATGAAGTTAGAGGACTGGGAGTATTACTGAGATGTAGGGACAGTTGACTCTATTTTTTCATATGTACTTTGTGGATTTTATTCCTTGAACTTTGAATATTTTAATTACTTCAAAGAACCTAGAGCTAAGCATAGTTATCCAAACAAATAATATTTGATCTTTGCAAAGTGCTTGGGCGTTATTTATGTGTATGTTTATATGTGGGCTAAATAACAAACTTTACTATCTTTCACTCCAACAGTAAGGTGCACTTTTTGTAGCTACTAAATTTACTGGAGCTACATACCTTGAAAATGTATTTATTTTAAAAAAAACCCTATAAAACAATACATTCCACTGCACATCTGTCTCCCCCAGGAGAGAACAAATAATACATGAAATATGTTAGTAATTTTGCCTATGTGCTACGGAAAGGTGCTTGCATTCTATGAAGAGAGGCAGGGTATAAGAACCTTTACGGAACAGAATAGAATCAGAGCACTGCAAACCAAATTTGCATTTTAAGGCTACCATACATATAAATGCAAATTCTCAGAGGAGATCCTGACATGGCTTTATTTTCTACAACTCAACAACATGAGAATTTATTAGATAAAGGATTGTTACCTACTTCAGGTTAAAGCTCCTTCTCAATCCAGTAATGAACATTCTACTTTTTGAATACTTCCTTAGACTACATAAAATCACATTCCCTTATGGCACTCAAAAAATCTTGGTTCAGGAAGGTAGGCTACCAAACACATTCAGTTTTTCAGAGAAAGTCCTGATGCCAAAGGCAGCAAATACTATTTCTTTCTTCACACTAAATTGTGAAGAGTAGGTTACTTAACACCCACTCTCACATTCCACATCAGTGGAACCATCTTGTTAGTCTTTAAAGTGCTACATTGTCCTGCATTTTGCTTCAACTACCCCAGACTAACACGGCTACATTTCTATCACTATTGAACAGTGAGAGAGATTGATGCACATATGGCATTGCTCAAAGGTGTAGTAAAAGACAGTTCTAGGGATGCACAAATTAACTTCAGCTCTTGCCTGCTAGGGTTTCCTGAGACATCATCACTGGCTGCTGTGACAGTCTTCAGTTTTTGCAACTTCTTCAAGTGACACAATTCTGCCCCCGTCAGGGCATGGATGGGCTAACCCAGTCTCTTTTCAAAACCCTTTAAGGCCAAGAATTCTGGGACATACTTTTTCTGGGAACTGTCAATGCATGATGGGAGATGAAACAGCATAAAAGGCAGGCTTTCATCATTCTGTATAATAGTGATAGAAATGTAGCCGTGTTAGTCTGGGGTAGTTGAAGCAAAATGCAGGACAATGTAGCACTTTAAAGACTAACAGCTCTTGAGAAAGCTTAGATCTGTTGTGAGGGCTGTTGTGGCTTTATCACAGTTGCAATTGTTCTGTCCACATTTCCTGACATCAGTCTCACTCCTTGGCACAGCCTGTAATTCCTTCCTCCTTCTCAGTAGTCTATCATTACCTTGTTAACTGATCATCCCCCAGAGCATGCCCTTGACACTATTTAGGGGCAGGCCCCCCCGGCCTACTCCTAGACTGCTGCATAGTCTCACATTGTCCTGATAGTGGTCACACATTTGCCCAGGTTCATTTTCTGCACATTGGGATACTAGGTAGATCAGCCAGGTTTTGCCAAAAATATGGATCAGAAGGTGCTGATGAGTATCTGCCAGTCTGTTCTGGTTGTGTCCCTTCTTTGATTGGCCCCATCTTGGGTTGGAACCATCATAGCCTGGGCCAGGCTGTGCTGAGTTCTGCCTCAGGAGGGAATGGAGTGACAAGGAGTCCCACCTCTTCTTTCTATATGTTTAGAAGGTTAACATGATATAATGGAATAGCCTTTTTCTTCCTAGGCTAGCAAATTTCACATTCTACAATCCTAACCCATCTTACTGCTTTGATGGGAACTTGTCCCCAGGCCAATGGCTTGGATTTGTAGGTATTGTAACACAAACAACCGTATTCTACCTACTGCATACTACTGGGCTACGTCTACACTGGCACCCTTTTCCGGAAATGCTTAAAACGGAACAGTTTTCCGTTATAAGTATTTCTGGAAAAAGCACGTCTACAGTGGCAGGATGCTTTTCCGGAAAAG